TGTAATCATATAGACCTCACCACCATTTATATCGAAAGTAGATGCTAACACATTTACCTCATCTCTCTCTTTAACCTTTAGCTTACCCTTCTCCTTATGACAATCTTTTATAAAATGTCCTGTGTTTCCACAACCATAGCATTTTCTCGCCTTAATCCTAGATTTTGATCTAGATCTACCTTTGCCCTTCTTTTTCCATCCATTACCACTTGATTCGCCACTAGTTTGATATCCATCATAACTATTTTGCCTAAATTAAGTTTTACCCCGCATCATATGTACCTCACCGTTCCTCTTATCATGTTTTTCAGCCCTAATTTTCATTTCTTTACTTCTAAGGGAATCTATGACAATTTCAGGTGTTAACGTGTCTCTACCATACTTAATAGCATTCTTAACTTCCTTATAGGAATCAGGAATTGCATTGAGCAAAATTATAACCTTATAAGTTTCGGACACAATCTCATCACAATTAACTATATCTTGCACCAATTTGTTAAATACGTCTAGATTGTCATCAAAATCCTTTGAATGATCCATTTTGAAACTGAAAAAACGTTCAAGCAGGTAAAGTTTATTCGGTGTAAACTTAAGCAAATGCAAGTCTTCTAATTTCTTTCAAAGTTCTTTAGTGGTTTTCAGTTTACCCACCTTTCTTAAAACGGCGTCAGACAAGTGTAAAATAATTGAGGTATAAGCAAGCTCATCGGCTTCTTCTCTTTGCTCTTGTGAAAAATCAGTTGAAAATTTGCATTCAATGACTTTTGAAACCTTTTGTTGGACTAAAATGCCCTTCATTTTTTGTTGCCAAATAGCAAAGTCACCCTTTCCATTAAAATTTTCAAATCAAAACTGTGAGTTGTCATCTTTAAACAACAGTCAAAAATTGCACAAATCACAATCAAACCACACAAAGTAGTCCTTGGGTCACTGACAATATACACCGTTCTAGATTCTCAGGGTTTCGTAAGACTCACGGTCTTAGATCAAGGGAATGTTCGAACGGGTAAGGTTATGGTATTTCTAACGGAATAAGTAAGCAGCGGAAATAACAATGCACAAAAAATATGTCTAGCAGATAACTAGTCTCACAGTAATTAGATCACTAAGAATTAAAAAGTGATTTTAACCCAAAAACAAATACTCAATCAAAAACAATCAAGTGCACGTAACCCTAATTCAAGCACAAGTAATGGTTGCCAAGCAATGACAAGTCCCGACCTATTGTCACCCCACACAATGACGCGCTAATGCTGAAAAATTAGCGGGTTAAGCCAATTTACCAGAGCGGACGTGTTTGAATCCTTATAATCAAGAGAGATGCGAATCTACCGCTTTAGGGCCGCAATCTTGGCCTAAAGTAATTCAATAGATATATGCAGTTTCAACCGTCGATCCACCAGGGGCAAAATTGTCTAACTTTTTATGTGTAACCTGAAAACAAACAGTGTCAGTGCGTTCAGGGGATTGAAATGACCAAACTGCCCGAAGGAAGTTCGCCCGGAATCGTCGCCACGCGCCGCCACCGGAGTTCGCCACCGCCACCACGCACCGCACTGGAAGGGGCGCCTCAACCTACTGGTTCCGGGTATGGGGTCGGTTTCACTGGAAAGTTATTGGTTTGGCTGGAAAATGAGATTGCAGGTTCGGTCCCCTATATAAATCACGCACACCATCGCCGTTTTTGGTGGTTTTCTGGCCAGAGAAGGTGACCCAGGCTCTGATACCACTTGTAGTGCTAATTTCCAGCAAACACCAAGTTCAAATCGAGCTCAGTTTCACCTATTTTATCGACACCACCAAGGTTGAGACAACTCCAATACCACCACCAAGAACCGCCCCACTTCCGGTTGCTATAGGTTGGGAAGATGAAGTCCAATAATATGCCCACTAAGAATTAACCACAAAGGTCACACAGAATAGATGAAAGAACCGAGAAGTAAGTCTCACAGAGAGAGATTGGGCATACTACTATGGAGGCCGAGAGAGAGACAAGAATATAAGCCAAGTAAATATCCAAACAAGGTAAGTTAGGTTAGGGTTAATTTGTGGACCAAACAAGGCTCGACTCAAAATTAATGGCCTTCAAATTGATAACATAGCCTTCTAAGGAAATGGACGAACCGTGAGCAACACTATTAACAATAGGTTGCTTCGAACGGTCCATACGAATGTGGATTGGGTTATCTCGATAATTGTGTTGATATACTAATCAATTATATGACCAAGACCGATTGATAATAAAATCGAGGTTACATCATAACCCGGAGGGTCGTTTGACAACAAATTGCCTAACAATAATTAATCAATAAAACAATTTGTTCCGTTATTTGAATAAATAAATAAATAAAAGATGTGCTGACGAGTTTGTTTAGTTAATTACATTCTTCGAGCTTCTCAACTATATCTAAAATACTTTCTTCATCACTTAAAATCCAAATAAATCCTAACAATAAGCAGTAAGTACAGAAGCACAGAGTTCTTGCTTATATTAAATTTTCGAGGAAAGGCTCCTTAGTCCTTTGGTGTATACTAGGGATGTCAATGACGGTAGACCTGAGCCAAGGCTCGGGCCGAGCCCCTTTTTTAGGACATGGGCTTTGCTTGAGCAGGCCCACGAGCCTTTATTTAAAAATAAAATAATAATAATAATAATAATAAAGAGGAAAGGAAAAACCTTTGTGGCAGTAAAATGCTACCTTTTTAAGGCAGTAGCTTAATATAGGAAAAATTAAATAAATAAGAGAGAGAGAAAAACGGGCCTGTCCCGCTCGGCTCAAAAAAGCATGAGCCGAAAGTTTGGGTTGAGCCTAAAATTTTGGGGCAAGCTTTTGCTCGGCCCGACTCGAGCTTAAAAAAAGCTTGACAATTTTAACCGAGCCCAATTTGAGCCTCAAGTTTCGGCTCGTGAACCGGCTCGACTCGACTCGTTGACATCCCTAGTGTATACTCATTTGACTGTCTATCTAAATCCATTGCAGGCAAAAATTTTGTTTGGGGATCTCAACATACTTTGAAAAATAAATACAAAATGTACCATTAATATGATAAAAAGATTAAAAACTTAGAAAAGGCATTTAAATTGAATTTTGTTAGTTGTATAATAAGGGTTGACAATCCCAATTGACAACCTTTTCATAGGAGGGGCTCACGATTTTTTTATTCATCGTGGAGCCAATCTCATGTGTGGTTGTTGATTCGAATTGTAAGTGTGGCATGGCCGGTTTTAATCTACTTAATTAAATTGAAGCAGTGACCATTTGATTTGTAACGTCACAAACATTTAAAACCAAAACAAGACGGCGAATGTCACACGTAATTCTGCAGTAATTATATTTATGGCACAAAATTTGTGACAGAGGCAGGAGGCGCCGCTACCTTTTTCGATTTGGATTGTAGAGATGCAAAGTTTTCGGTCCGACGGATTTTATTTATTATATATTCGTGTATTACGAATTTTAAGTAGTTCTCAAAATTTCAGTCTTTCTTCTCTTTGTAGTTAAATACTTCTAGTAATAAAATTCTCTTTAATGGTGAATGTAAATTAATGTTTCTAGAACCACTTTCGTATCTTCATTTACATAGGACGAATCTAAATCCAAATTCTACTGCAATGAAAAGATCTAAATTCACTTTTTGCCTCTTATAACTGTAAAAATATATTTAATTTGTAATTTAAATCTTCAAAATGGTCGAAATTAAATCTCTCCAATGGAATATGCAAATTGCATTTTTAATAGGAAAATATATATATATATATATATATATATATATATAATATTCTTTACATTTCTCCATTGAAGAGACTTTCAACCACTTTGAAAATATAATCACAATTTAGATCTATTTTAAATCATCATTGAAGATTCTCTAAGTTGCCTATAAACTTTTTAAACGGTTGAACCCCAGCCTTGAGGATTCGCCCCGCCCCGCCCCTAGAGCATCGGGAATGAGGTAAATCCTGAGATGTACCCCAACAGACCAAAGAATAAGAGTTTGCCCGTACACTGGTGTCCACAAAAAGTACCCAAAATTGAAAGTCATAGGTACTACTGTCGTTGTCCAACTCTCCTAAATACCCATATATTTATCACACTATAGTATAAAGCTCAACTTTGTTTCTGACCTAGAGCTGATACTCAAGAATTTAAAGCGACACACGTTATCATGATTTTCACGTTATAATTTAAAAGCAGCAGCAAGGACATTTATTACATTGAGAAACTGACCGTGCAACTATAATTAGACGCTTGTTTGGTAAGAATTAAAATCAATTTTTAATCAATTTTGATGTTGATTTTGATTTTGGTAAAAATTGTTAAAATGCATGGTTGACAAGTTGTCAATCCCATAAAATGTGTAGTTAAAATTAATTGTTGAATTTAACTTAAATTAAAATCTAAATTCTAATTTGTACCAAATAGGGGCTAAACATTGAGCATCACGTTGCTATTAGACCAACTTTACCTTGTGAGGTACACAAAAAGTGAGTTTAAAATAACGTCGCAAAATTTTTACATTCATGGCATGTATCTTAAGCCAGGCTGAATATAATTGTGGAAAAAAGATACTATATCTGTTATATGCCCCGTATTATCCACTCTAACGTACCAAATATTATATTATGTATAATGCTAGTTGTACAAAAGTGTTTTCACAGAGGAAAAACAGAAGTCTCACATAGAGGTCGGCCCCACTGCGGGAGCAGTGTATTGAAAAAAGGCAGAAAAAAATCCGGTTCCACCGAAGTGTGAGACATCTATATGATGTCTGTGAAAAAAAGTTCTGTTCGCCTAGCAGAACCCTTATATTATTGCTAAGAAACAATTGACTGTTACATGTTGCATTATGTTTCTGCAGTGTTGATTCCATTACATAAATGCATCAGAATAAAACATACGCACATGGATACTAGAATGTTTCGTTCTTGTGTCTCGCAGGATGAATTGTAAGAACACCAGGAATAACCAGATGGGAAGCATAAATTAGGATACTCCTCAGAGCACGAATCTATGGGGAAAAACATTCGTTAAATAAACACGACATAGGAGAAGGCTAAGTGTAAGACATTAAACATGCGACGTCTGAGGTTCTCTTGTAAATTCATGTTTTATAGGAAGTTACATTGATTGGTGTATTCGACGATATGTTTGTTTTTGGAAGATGGCGTTCCATCTAACGAATGCATATACATTTAGTTTGAAGAAAATGTCATGCTGTTGAATGAGATGGGTTACTTGAGCTTACTGTGAAATCACTTCACCCGAAGAAATATTCAAAAACTTCAAGCAAAGAAGACCCCATCTCAGAAGTCTCCTCCATCATCAACACGAATTCACAACCTGCAAGTGTCCTATTATATTTTCAGTACCGTATACTTTGGAATATGTACCAGCCATGAGAAGTAGGAAGTAAACAACATGATGATAATGAAATTTTTTTAAGTAATTGGACATTATCTTCCTGAATTTCTTCATATTTGTGAAAAAAAATTGCAGCACATGTTTTACAAATACTTTTTGAGACAGAATTGAACTAAAACTTGGAAGTTCTTCAAGCGAAAAGTTCAATTCTTCTACTTCAACAGAGTGCCAAAAAATATAAACTAAGCAAGAAGGTTGAAAATGGTATATATACCTTTCCATTTGTTCACTAACAGAATCTTTAACTCGAACCTAAGCTGAATAGAACAGGAAAGGCACTGCAAAAACAAAAGGAAAATCTTGAGCTTGAAATATGGGTCGTAAATCGACTGAACTAACAAAACACGAGCCCAACTTATACAGTAGTAGAGCAAGCATAACTATGTGCCATATGTCAAAACATTTAGGTAATGATGGTTCAGCAACTTGATAGTTGATTCTACACAATGAAATCCCTCTAACTATGCACAATTACAGTGTCCTGCACTTGTGCATGGTCAACAAAACGCTACTCAAGACTTCACAGGAATGAATACAAAAACAACATTATATAAATTATAATTATTTGGATCACGAGATTATGCTTTATTGCTATACAAAATTCTTTTTTCCTTCTCTCAACAAATACTGTTGCTCTTCTTTTTTCCCATGTAGAAACTTTTGAACAATTTATTTGCCATTCTTGTGAAAACCAAATTCTAAGACCTAAAACTTGGTCTAAAAGTATGCAGCTCTCAAGAAATAGAGCTAAGATTATGGCTATGAAACAAAAATTAGAACTTCAAGTTCGTATTTTCTTCATAATAAAACAGTTTTTAATGGCAATTGAAGTTTCAAGAATTTAGTGAAAACCACGATCTTCTCCAATGTAGTCTATCAATGCGCCAAAAGCCACCGGCATAAGAAAAATGACGTGTCTTTTTCTAAAGAACTAGAAAAAAAAATTGGAAAATTCAAAAAGAAAAGTTTTCTACTTTGAAAATTTTCAGATGGAAAAAATACAATTACATTGAAAAGTTTCAAAATAAACAAAAAACTGGGGTAATCAAAAGTGTCAGTTCTAAATAATAATAGCAATATAAAAAGACCTCTTAAAAGTAAATCTAATACTCTTATTTCGATCAAGAGAAGAAGTACATGAATAGAGCCAAACTAAAAAAGGGAACATTTAGTCAAATTGCATCTCCTGGTTGGACAAATTCTTCATTGAAAAAAAAAAAAAAAAAAAGAAAGAGTAACTTCAAACATAAACAGTAGTCTTAATCTCTGTAGCACGAACACTTTAACTAGGGTGATGTGTTCGTGTCCGACACGTGTCGGAAGTCGATACCGACACTGTACAATAATCATTTTTCTTCTTACTATAACTATTATACATTTTTAATTCAAAATTAATAGTAAATAACAAATAAGTACTTATATTTATAAGATTTCAAAAAGAAAAATCAATAATAAGTATCAAACTAAATTTATACCATATAAATGAAAAATTTTAAAGAATTTAATCAACGTGTCATGTCAGAACTTTTTTGAAAAATCACGTGTCGGCGTATCCAACACGTATCGTGTCGCACACTCGTGTCCGTGTCGATTCATCATAGGTCTTAACAAAACAAGTTAAAATGCTAAGGACTTTTGCAAATATTAAAAAGAAGAAACACTCAATTAATTTGTAAATCATCCCTTTTCTAAAAATATTCATAGAAAGAATATCACAAATATATTTTTATCTATAATTAATATTCCAGAATGAAGAAAAATTAATTTCTTTAATCTAACAAGAAAATTACGAATAAAGCCATTTACAATAATGAAACAAATCGAGAAATGATTAATAAAATATAGAAATCCGGATGAGTTTATTTCGACTATAAAAAGTCAGTTATAATACTAGTAATAGTAGGACAAATTCACATAATTTTTTATAAATTATCCTACTTGTCACAAGCATATGCACTTTACAAATTATCACAAAACCAAGTTATAAACTTGTATAAATTAAAATATGTTCTTCAACATCAAAGAATCCCTTTTTTTCATAAGCCTAATGTGTAACTAATCATAATATATTTGATCTACCCAACAGCAACAAGCCTTTTCAGTGAGTAATAATCCAAGCAAAGAGCTTACCAGCTAAGAAAAGGGTTAGCATCAAAACAAGTATGAGTCGAATGGAATGGACAGGCAATGTTGGTGAAATTTGTTGTTGCCTCTGATTCCTTGGAGTTCGTTTGAACAGCTGTAAAACATGTGGAGATGCTCCAGATGTTAAATAAGCATAACCAACTCAAAAAATCTTTTCTGGAGATAAAGAATTTATTGAAATCAAGCCAAAGGAGGCACAAGACTCCACCTTACCAATCAAACTCAAAAATTAAAGAGATCTATACATAGAAACATGCAGGTTCAGTGTTTATGATTCCAAAAACATGAGTGAAAGAAAGGAATAAACTTGTTTAGATTTATTGCAAGTCTGAAAAATGGAAATAATTTTAAGAGCCGTCATAGTATTAACCTGATTGTTGAAATTGAATATCTTCAGTTGGGTGTAAGTTAGCACTCCTCCCTTTGCTTGAGGATGGTCTTCACACCTTGATCTCCAATAACAAGGTTTGGATCCCCTCTCTTTGGGTGATGCTTCAACCAATGCATTCCTCTCTTCATTGTCATTATCAATTACAATCTCCAAAGCACTCACACCTGGTAAATTACGTACCCTACGAGAACTAGGTTCATCCCTTGTCTCAGGAATTTCTTTCTCTTCTGCCTCTATGAAGCATTTGGCTTCCACATTACTAGTGACAATTTCTTCAAAACCCTTTGTCTTAATTGGAATTTGTGTCTTGGAACCAACTTTAGAATCTAGACTGACGTCTTTTCTAGTATTGTTTTTCTCTTTAAAGGGGCCAGTTGCTGGTTCTCCAAGCTCTGTACGTGGGGTATCGGGAGTTCCAGAAAGAAACAAAGCTAAGTCATCACGTTCTTCTTCATTCAAGTTTACCCAGCTAAAAAGTTGGTTTCTATCCACAGTATATGATTCTTTTTGTGCTGCTTCGACACGGAAAATCTGATCTTTTATAACAGAAACAAATTGCCTGTGTCTGGTCTTTGTAACTTCATCGGCATGATTTCTGTAACTCAACCTAACAGCCCTTTCAAACTCTTCCAACTATTGTGAAATTCAACACCAGAGCAAAAAAAAAAAAAAAGGATAGAAAGAAAGGAAATAAACTAGATTCAGAACAAACTTCAAGAACCTCTATACTAAATAACAAATTGGGACAGCATACGCATGATGACACTAAATGGTATGTGTTAAAAAAAAAAAGGCAGAAATTAACATCGTTTCTCCCAAAAATAGACAAAAAATTCATATGGATTGAAGCCAAAAACAAGTATGAACTCGGTGTCTATTATTTGTATATCCAACGAATTGTAGATACCAGAAATGATAAAATGTAGTTCAAAAGTCAGTTATATGATAGAGGTCATCAACCTGCCATTTTGCAGTGCCTAAAGCCATTTGAAGCTCTCTACTAAGTTCATCTAAATTCGGACCTGTCACCCCTTCTTTCCTTGCTCTGAGCCATGTTCTGTAAGCAGATTCCATTCTGCCAAAGCAAAAAGTAAAGAGAATATATCAATGACATTAGCTACTTAGGACTTAATTTCACCGATGAATCAACATTCTATGTTTTCCAAAAACCACATAATTTTCTTTTCTTTTTTTTTCGTTTTTTTTTTTTTTCCCGCTCCCTTCGAGAACTTGGATTTCGTCAATTTTCTGCGAAAATATTTATTTTCTATGTTTTTTCCCTGTCTCCTCGCATGTCCAAATTAGAACGAGGAGAATAATAAACACAAAATTGAAAGCAAAACTACTCAATTATTAAATAACTACAATTTGCAAAATTAAACAAAAAAACAAAAAATAAACCATACCCACATAAAAGAAAAAGGAAAAGAAGAGGATGGAGAAATTCACACACAAAAAGTTTCATCAAATTATTGAACCTCCTTAAAACCCCCCTCACTTTTTCAAGCCAAAACGAAACAACAAAATAGAAATTAAAAGAAAAAAAATGTAAAAGCAAATTCCTGATATAACAACAACAAAAATAAAATAAAATTTACCAAACACAAGGCAAAAACACACAAAATCAATCAAACCCAGATCAGCATCAAGAAAAAAATGACAAAAAATAGAAATGGACAAAATAATCATAATTATCAGACACTTACATATCAGCAGATTGTTGGACCTCCTCCGCTGCAGAAAAGAAGATATCCTTCTGCCATAAATCAAAACTGTGTGCAACCAACATTTTCACTTTCTTTCTTTATCCTGAACAACCCACCAACAACAAATGCTTCAAAATTAACAAATACGTACAATTATTTGTCTCGATCTATAGCCGGTGTATGTGTAAGAATGCACCCAATATTAAAGTTCTCCCTTCTCTGCTTTGCTAAGGGGAAGCAAAGAAGGAAGAGAGATTAAGGTAGAAGAAAACAGATAGAAAAAGGAAGAGGTGGAGACGGATGAAAGAATCTTTAATCCACCCTCTTCTCTCCTTTTTCTATCTCTGCAAGTTTTTTAGGCGTATGCCTGTTTTTTATGAACACTTTTCTTTTTCATTTTTCCATTTTCTTATTAATTTTTTAGAACAGATGAAACTTTCTTATTTATTGGGGTGCAAATGTGCAATTATGAGTTTTATCAGGTGCGAGCAGGTGTAGGATCCTTATAATAGAAGCACCTTTACTCTCTAGAGCATGTTTGATTCCCATTAATTTGGCAAAAAATGAATTTCGAATAGTATTTTTTAGAGAATGTGGAGTTAAAAAGTAAAAAAAATTTTGAGTTTACATGTAGAATATTATAGTGTAAATATTTGGTTGAAAATGATCATGTAACAAATAAATTAATGAAAATGTGGATTTATATCATTCTTCTTTCAATTTTCTTTTACTAAAAAATGGAGGGGTGGCGAAAAAAATTCTACAAGCATTTTAAAATATTGTCCATTGATCGTCTTGTTTATTCAAAAGTGTTCAATGTGTTAAATTATGGGAACTAATAGTTGTCATTGTGCAGAATCAGTACACAAATAGACATCCACAATGAGGTCACAATTTGGATTGGAAGGAGGCCAGGAAGCCTCCTCTACGATCCTCAGACCAAAATTTCATGAAGGATAATTTAGAACTTGTGTTCTTATAAATTTAGATTAAAGAATTTGTGCCCTTGTAAATTTTTGTTTATGAATTTGTTTTCTTTTAATTTTCAATTTTAGAATTTATATCCTTGTAAATTTTAGTTTTGCCCTAACTTATCTTATAAATAGAAAGTCGTCATTAGATTTTTATATCATCATCATAAAAAGAAAGTGAGAAACTAGTATTTTTAAATAGGGTAATTAGCACAAAACATCCCTACCTTTAGATGTTTTTGTGGAAAACGTCCCTACCTTTCATTTTTTGGCGGATTACACCCTTACCTTTACCTTTTTTTGCGCAAAACGTCCTTCTGTCAACTCTCCGTTAAAATGCTCCGTTAAATCAAAAAGGTAATTAGCACAAAAGGTCCCTACCTTTTAAAGTTATTGTACAAAACGTCCCTACCTTTTATTTTTTAGCATAATTAGCAGAAAAGGTCCCCACCTTTCAATATTATTGTGCAAAACGTCCCTACCTTTCGTTTTTAGCATTTTTACCCCTACATTTCACATTTCATTGCTCAAAAGGTCATTTTCATCCATTTTTTCAATAAAACGACGATTTTACTCTGTTATTCAAATAAAACAAAAAGAAAAGATGAATTACCAACTGCAACCATAGTCCTTAAATTTTTAAAAAATTACAAAAAAATCATAAATTTTCAACCACCACCATTTTCACAACCTATCAAGCTGCCAACTATAACTTCACATAATACCACCTTTCAGCCACCATGCCCACCGAATTTCAGCACCATAAATGTGGTTGTTTCGGACAGATTGGTGACCAATACCATGGAGGAGGATATTGGGGAGAGTGAGGCGATGCTGTTGGTGGTGGAGTCCGATATGTGTCATGGTCGAAAGTGGTGCTATATGGATCTATAGGTGGTGGCTTGGTGGGGTTGTGAAAGTAGCGGTAGTGGAGAATTTAGGATTTATCTGTAATGTTTTGAAAGATTTAGAACTATGATTGCAATTAATTAATTATTTTTTTCTTTTCTTTTTGTTTTATTTCAATAGGAGGGTAAAATCGTCATTTTATTGAAAAAATGGATGAAAATGACCTTTTGCGCAATGAAAGGTGAAATGTAGGGGTAAAAATGCTAAAAATGAAAGGTAGGGACGTTTTGCACAATAATATTGAAAGGTAGGGACCTTTTCTGCTAATTGTGCTAAAAAATAAAAGGTAGGGACGTTTTGTACAATAACTTTGAAAGGTAGGGACCTTTTGTGCTAATTACCTTTTTGATTTAACGGAGCATTTTAACGGAGAGTTGATACAAGGACGTTTTGCGCAAAAAAAGGTAAAGGTAAGGGTGTAATCCGCCAAAAAATGAAAGGTAGGGACGTTTTCCACAAAAACATCGAAAGGTAGGGATGTTTTGTGCTAATTACCCTTTTAAATATGATAAAATTAGTATGATCGGTGTTTATGTTAGAATTAATGATAGAGTATGTTAACAAAATGATCAATTAGATACACAAGCCTTTATAAAGTTAGGAATTTTAGAGATTTTAGAATATGATTTTGTAGTTGGATAGTGAGAATTTTTTCATTAATTAGGTACAAATTCATTACTAAAACAATTAAACTCAAACAATCACGATTGGAGTATTTACACAATACTAAAAGGAAATAAATTTAAATTACTCTTGAATATAGACTTTTCACGTATAATATTTACATATTATATATGTCTTAAAGGACTGTGTGACAAAAAAAATTAAATTAGATGTACACATAATGACATTGACTCATCAAAAATTGAAAAGAAAAATGGATATTGCAGCTGAGGCCTCAAATCTTTAAAAAAAGTTGCAGACTTTTTCCTAACATTTCATTTGTTACAATCGTCACCCCAAATCTTTCAAAACGTTGCCAATGAAGCCCCAATGGATGGATTCCATCCATATTTTTGTTAGTTGAAAAAAATTAGATTTTGACCACATTGTAATCAATTATAAAAGGATAAAATGGTAACTTTATATTTTCACATTAAAAAACTTAAATAAAAAACAAAAAAATGAAGAAGAAAATAAAATGAAAAGGAAAAAGATATCTTTTTCTCCCCCAACCCGACTGCAACCCCTCAACCCAAAATCAAAAGAAATCTCTCTCTCCCCGTATATATGTATGTATATGCTATGTGTGTCTATATTCAAAATTGCACGCGAATTGCCATTCTCTCTGTGTGTATATATAGTAGGGAGGTTTTAGGGGTCAACCATTAAAAAATTTAAATATCTCCAATCTTAAATGTCTAGAAATTTATGAATTTTTGAAATGGCCCCAAATTTCGGAAGTTACAGTAATCTCTTCATTTGGTATTTTCTTGATCATTTTTCATGTAGTTTCTGTATTTATTTCTATTGATAATCATATTTCAAGAGGCCAATCAATAAGAGATGGAGAAGAAATTATATCAAAAGAACAGAGATTTGTATTGGGATTCTTCAGTCTAGTGGGTTTTGATCTTAGATATGATATAAACTTAGTTCATAGTGGTGGTGGCGATGAAAGTGATTGTGAGGGTGGTGGTCTTGGGCCAAATGGTGGTAACGATAGATTTCTAGTTTTGGGTTGGGTTGGTGTTGGGATTGGGGTTGGGGATGAGGGAGGAGAAGATATTTTTTTCCTTTTCATTTTGTTTTCTTCTTCTCTTTTTGTTGTTTTTTATTTAAGTTTTTTTACTTGAAAAATATAAAATTATCATTTTTTCCTTTATAAGTGATTAAACAAAAATGCTAAATGATTGGGCCTTGCAATGTAGCTTCCTTAGTAATTAAAATATGGTCAAAGTCCAATTTTTTGGTCAAATAACAGAAATATGGATGGATTCCATCCATTAGGGCTTGATTCGAAAACGTTTTGAAATGTTTGAGGTGATGGTTGCAACAAATAAAAGATTAAAAGAAAATTTGCAACTTTTTGAAAAGTTTGGGGTCTTAGCTGCAATTATCCCAAAGAAAAAGGTGCAGATAAGCCTCCAATGAGTAGGAAAAGTGAGAGAGGTTTTCTTGACCCAGGGATGAGAAAAGAAATTTCTTTCCTGAGACAATGAAAATTATATTATACACAATAAAGGAAAAACAAATAATATTTATTTTTTGATTGGCTAATTAGTTGTATAGGAAATCCAGTGCGATGTGCTGGATGCTGACTCCAAATAATAATATTATTATTGAGAAAAAATGGCGTCGGCGGTTAGAGAGAGGAGGACAGAAGATGGTGAGTTGGGATTTTATTATATGGTTGGCTCTGCTATGCATTGCGTGTTTCCGGGGTCCACATTGGCCAACCAACCGTACTCTGTCTGCGAGGGTCCCGTCACCTATTCATATTTTTTTTTTGTAAATTTTAGGTTATTCTGATGTTAAATCTCTGACCCCTTCTTTTTTTTTTTTCCCTCCATTTTTTTTTCTTTTTTTCCCCCCTTTTTAACTCATTAAATTGGTGTTTCTTGTTGATAACAAGAATAAAGAAGGCATAATGTTTGTTTAGTTACTGAATTTGTACTTTCATCACGTTTTATTCGCTGAACTTCAAAATATTTTTGAATGATCATTGAATTTTAACACGTTACTTTCCATCCCTACTCACCATGTTTCATAAATCATTGAACTTTAACATATTTTTGAGTGATCATTGAACTTAAAGACATTACACTCTGTTATTTACTTACTATATTGAACTTATACTTTTGTCACATTTTACTAAATCAACTTTAAAATCTTTCAAGTGACCATTGAATTTCATAATGTTTTCGACTAAAGTTGATTTTCTATGAGATTCAACCTAGATCAAGAAAATTAAATGATATAAATATTGAATAAATAATAAGACTCTCAATCTAAGACTATAATATTGATATTGATAAAAAAAGATATAATTTATCTAGTCATCAAAAACTATGTTCAATGGGAAAAAAGAATACTCATTTTCAAATTGACATAAACCTTAATTTAGATAATAATTCTTCATTTATGTCAAGAAAATAAAATAGAGAAATTATTTCTTTATTGCGATTGTGATTGTAAAGCTAAATCAATAAAATAAAATAAAAATATCTCAAATAAAAAGTGAAATTTTTGTTTTAAAGTCAATAATATTAATCAAGAATGAAAAAATATAATTTTTAAAGTTGTCACAAAATAAATCAAGAGGAAAGATGGGTTCTATCTTCATGTATGGTATTTCACACTTCAAAATTTTCAATTTTTGAACAGTTAGATTCAATAAGTAAAGTTCAGTGATCATTCAAAAATATTTTAAAATTCAATAAGTAAAGCTTGACATAACGATGGAGTGAATGATGAAATATGGTGAATGAATAATGAGTGCAACATGTTAAATTTCAGTAATCATTCGAAAGTATTTTAAAATTCATTGACTAA